CATTGAGAAAATGGGAAAATGGCACTATGAAGTGCGATTCCCTTGTAAATATTTGAAAAATCATAGTAAATTTATTAATATTTTTTTCAAGCTAAAATCAGCTGCATTGAAGCTTGCATGTTGTTACACCTTTGGAAAATATGACAACTTGAAAAGTAGAACTGTAACTTCACTTCTGGACGATATACCGTATGCATGATAATGTTTGCACCATAGTACAAATAAGGTTCCCGTTTCACCTGTGCATACAATATCTTGGTTCTCTTTGCATGCACGTAACCTATAGCTCATACCGAAGTAGCAACAATCAATACGAAACTAACGATTTTAAATTGGCTCACTACTTGATTAGCCTATTGGTCCCAAGTAAACGATTAACGTACCCCATTCTAGTTGAAATTCTAGTACTACGCAATGTTTGTTTTGATTCGCTATGAAAGTTTGACAGATAAAATGAGGGATTAGTGGATTTTCCTATGTTTCGAGGGGTGAATCGATTAGCTTGGGACCGAAGAGAGTACCAGATCTGAACCAAAAAGTTGAGCACGTTATTTCGGGACCTTCTAGTCTTAGAGTTACCTCTATGGTAGTAGGCTGTGTATAAAAGAAAATGATTTACTTATATATTGACAGTTGCACCATGACGAAGTGGCAGCGTATTCGTGATTTGTCCCATGCGCAAATGTCGCAAAAAGACATTTTAATCGCCGTGGGAGTGTCCCGGTGGACCGTCAAAAGAGTTTTAGACCGAAAAAAGAAAGGACAACTATCCGCAAAGGTGGCCACAGGTCGTCCGAGGTCAGCTCGGGTTCCGAAGGTTATCGCTGCTATCAAAAGGAAGAATCCAGTGCGTTCAATAATGAAAATGGCAAAGGAACACGGGATCAGTGACTTTAAAGCACTGTAGATCGTAAAGGAAGATTGCGGGGCGAAGTTGAGGGCACGAAAAAAAAAACTCACATGATTACCAACCGCATCCGGGAGCTACGAGTCGAACGATGCAAGAAAATCTTGAACTTCCTTAAGCGAAAAAATCCGGTAAACCTGTTCACCGACTAGAGCATGTTCAGGGTTGTTACGAGAAATTTGAAATTAAATCCGCGCGGACTTTAAATAAAAATCGCGCCAAATCCGCGCGGACTTTATATCAAAGTAGCGTATGTTGACCGAAATTTGACTTGCGCCCAGGTTCAGACGAAAACAAGAAATAACCTAAGATATAGGATTGCAGGAGGACAATTAATAAAGTAAAGGAGACTTCTGTCAGCGATAAACGTTAATTTTTTGTCAATGATTTAACAAGCACTCAGTGGCGTTTCCTTAACCTCAATCTACCTGTGCACCAATTCTCAAAACATAAACAATTATCAAAATAATGCTTGCAATGGATAGATATCGAGTAAACTAGAAGATAAAGTGTATTTTTCAACCGATTCGAGTATGAAGACGGCATGAAATCTGATTTTGAAAGTTGGTGCACAGGTAAAAAGTGAGGTTACGGGACGCCACTGCAAGCACTTATTTGATTGAATGTATGCATCAAAACACTAATAATCTTCATTAGCATTCATTTTAGCGAAGACTACAAATCAAGAAGACTGGCAACTGTTCCCTTCTCCCATACAAATGTCAAACGTCACTGATAACAGCGCCTCTGACAATCATAGGTTGAACTTTGAAGCACAAGTGTTAGTGAGACTGCTCATTAACAGTGACTGTGTGTGTGACCTAATGTCACCGCAACGAATAATCAGAACACGGTACTCGTTCTTCTTTCCTTTATTTAACGTCGGCTCTGTTCCGCAATCTAGTGCCAATCACCGACGGATATTAATTGCCATCCATTGACAGCAATCGAATGTGCAGGAAGGCAGCTTCCACACCTGCGTAGGATATCGCACCCATTCAACACACATACACATGGGCCGAGACCAACGGCTTTACTTCCCTTCCGAAGGAAGACGTGACCAGAGATTTTTATGCCTCAGAAAAATCCCACCGACCTCGGCTGGGTTTGAACCCAGACCCATCGGGGTGTTAGAAAGCAGTCACGCATACCACTACACCTCCAGCGCCGGCTAGAACACGGTACTCGTTGTTGTTTTTGTTTTGCTCTACAAAATTTCACGGCAATTTGTATCCTAATCACAGCAAGCCGGTTATTTTCCAACTCCAAACCGAAAAACTTGTCATGTTGGATCAAGTAGAGGATTGAAACTCGGATCGATACCTAGGGAAAGTAACTTTTACTTGTGTACGATGAACCGAAATATTGTTTACTTTGCTTGTTGGAAGCAATCAAATATAAGGAATTGGCGGCTTCCACCTCCGTTGAGTGAACTACCGTTATTCTAAAGCTGCTGAAAATTCATGGATTCGAAAAGAAGAAAGATCCGGTACCTGCATCACGATCCAACGGAAGGCGTAGCATGATCTAATGTTGGAGAAAATGAAAATGAAAGGTTGAAGGACTACAATCCCAAACGGTACGTATTGATAAAGAATATATTTCCATATATAGATGCTGTCAGAACATGAAACCACCGGATAGTGATCCTCTGTATGCTTTAACAATTGTTGAAATCGACCAACCCCTTCCATAGAATGATAACAATAGTGTCGGATTGGCCAGTGAAATTCAAATGACCAAGTGCCAAAGCCATGCGGAACGGGCATGTATTTTACTTATGCACCATACGAATGCCCATAAATGCATCACTAAAGGGCTTAGGAAAAGTGGAAGATAATTCTGAGATAGCAAATTAATGATCGAGGAAGGTCCCACCATCATTGTGAATGGCATCTTTGCCATAGTTTTAATTTTCAAAACAAATTTACTAACGCATCTGTTCAGTTTCAGCTAGATTTTTAACTCGTTGTCAGCATAAAGCAAAGAAAGAAACGTTTCACTTTTTACGACAATCATATCAAACCCAATAATTGACACCTAATTATTTCTACCTATGTGTGTGAATGCACTCGTGAATTAACACACACCATCATACACAGGTTCCACTTTTGCTCAGAAGAGGCGTTGCCGTTACAGTCTCCTGATTTTTGGCAGAGTTGCCAGTCTTCTTGATTTGTAGTCTTCGATTTTAGCCAACTTTTGCTTTTCTGATTTTTCGTCCTGATCAATATTATCTTTTGCTTCAAAAGAACTTTTAGGAATGATGTTTCTGGATTATTGGATGTCATTGTTCTGATTTCTTTTTCCATCAAATTAAAAATATCTTCTTTTGCCTTTCTTTTCTTTCCGATCTCTTCTTCTTGTCCTTTAATGTAGTGTCTGACTAGCTTCCTTTCTTTTTCCATCTTTTTCTGAGCTCCCATTAATTCGCCTTCTTTCTTTTGTTCCTGCTTAGTATCGGATGGCTTATATTATATATATTTTTAATGTCCTACCTACACTTAGTTTCGTAAGATTTCCTCGCGAACTTGGCATTCAAAATTAAATCCTTCGAAAGAACAAATTTGGTTACATCATTATCAAAAAAATGCATGCCACTCAAAATTTTTACTGTTATTGAAATCCTGTTTACTAAGCCTAGTTCGGTTCTCTGGCATCAAATGCTTGGATAGTGAAAACTTCCTTTCTACTTCTGCATTGGAATGCGATACGCATGTTACAATGTTAAACAATGTGCTGAATTCTGGGAAACTTCCTTCTCGAAATAGAGGATCCAGAATTTCCGAATCCCCAATCTAAATCAAACGTTTGACATACCAATTTCACACTTGCATGTACGAGTTATTCGTGTATCTTAGATTTGTCTTATTTGAAATCAATTATTGTTTACTAAACGGACGATTTCCTTGATGGAGTCCTTATTGATGATCCTGCGAACCTTGAAGTTACTGACAAATCGAACAAATTCATTGGGAACATCTTGGGCAAACAAATACGACCCAAAAGATTTCGTGTGTTCTTTGACATTCTTATTGAATTGAGATGATTTGAATTGATGTTCAGCAACATCAAGTATGGATTTGAAAACACTGAATCCTAAAGAAAATTGTCTTCTTTTAGTTTTTCTTCCTGATAGCTTCTGTTATTTTTCCTAATCTAATAAGCAAATCCGCGAAAATCGCGAAATCTGCGTTGTCGTAACAACCCTGCATCATGTTTACCGTCGATCCCGTATCAAATTCCAGAACCGACCGGTATATTAGTTCTCTTCCGGTAAAAGACGTGGCAACCGACGATACAAGAACGTGTATCTGAACAAGCATCCTGCTAGCGTTATGGTGTTTGGATTGGTGGCTTCCGATGGCAAAAAAATGGACCCGGTGTTCATTCCAACACTGAGGTCTACATCGGGATTTTAAGTGTGATCTTCCGTGGATCAAAGAACAGTACGGTCCGAAGCCAGATGTTGTATTTCAACAAGATGGGACTCCGTGCCACACCTCGAACTGCACTCAGTGGTTGCAGGAACATCTTCCGTTCTTGGCGAAGGATATGTGGCCGCCATCCAGCCCTGATCTCAATCCGCTGGATTACTCAATATGGCGCGTCATGAAGGCCAAGGCCTGTTCTAAACGCCACCCGAGTACAGCAAGCCTCAGACAAACATTGACCCGTACCTGGAGAGAAATGGATCCAGACTACATTATTAGAACCTGCCGTGCATTCCGGAAGCATGAGGAGGCCGTAATTGCAGCAAGTGGAAACTCGATCGATGATTAACATAGTTTAATCATCAGATAGGGCCGACGGGATTTGAGAAATCTGTTATTTTAGTATAAAGGAAGCTCAGCTTGTAGCGGCGCCGGTGGTATAGTGGTAAGCGTGATTGCCTCTCACCCCAAAAGGCCCTAAGGGTTCAACTGTTTACGGTGAGCATATAGTGATCTTGATTTTCTTGACTTTTCCTAATATTCCTAGTTATTTTAATACTGGATGAACTCAACATTGTTTTGAAAAAGTTTGGATCCCATTTTCCCATAAAACAATAAACAAAACTAGTCGGTTGTAGACTCTAAACAAAACCACTTACTTGACATCCACCGTATGCAGCAGAAAGATGATCCGCTTGCTCTCGATGGTAATATCCCGGCTGCACTTGACGATCCGTTCGTACCGGTCGTGCTTCTCGTCCAACTCCCGGGCGTACCCGCGGAAACACTGAACGACCGGATTTTTCTCATCGATCAGAACATCCGCATCCTTTCCTCCACGTTTTCCACCACCACTACCACCGTGGCGTCCACCTCCGCCACCTTTATTGAAATTGCCTCCCCGGCGATTTCCACCGCGATTCGAATGATGGAAGCTCATCTTTACCGTTTACACACGATTATAATCGGATTGCACCAGAAAACTTCCGCGAAAACAAGCTTCTAAAACTGCAAAAGATAACTTCCGAGTGTTTCGAGCTGAACCGAATCAGCCTTTGCGATTCGAAGCGAAACGAACGTAAACAAAACAAAACGAAAACATGTTTTTGAGCATTTTGAGCACCAAAAAATGAGTTCCTGCCGTGCAGTGTTGCCAGATTGTTTTAAAGTTTATCGGTATCAAAGGTTTAAAAAAAATCGGTATACATATATCGGTATTTACTATTTTAATTTATTTTAGCTGTTTTTAAAAGCAAAAAATTTAACTTTTGGACTATGATCGGAAAATTCTGTAAGAAAACTCTGGGGAATGTTTGAATTACCCAAGTAACCATAGGCACGTTATTTCGCCTTTTTGGCTATATACAGCTGATCAACGGCTATACCAGCGTTTGTATGGTCTGATGAGGCCCGTATATAGCCAAAAAGGCAAAATAACGTGCTTATGGTTACTTGGGTAGATTCCCAAGGAACATCCAGAGAAAGAAGAAAGAAGCTCTTCTGGATGAAATTTGAGGAAAGTTCTAAGAAAATTCGGAGAAACATCCGGGAACTACCAAGACAAGAATTGAAAAACTTCTAGTGAATATTCAAAGAAACCATCGGAAAAAAATCAGATGTCACATCCAAAGGAAGCCAAAAAAGCTTCAAAAAATAGAAGTAAATTCCAGAAGTAGCTGGTTCTAGGGGAAACCAGAAGAAGTTCGGAATAACCTTCGAATAAAAGTCGAAAACCTATGGTTTATGGACACACTTCCAGAAGAAGACGGAAGGAACTTCCTGAAGACGCTGGCAGACACTTCCTAAGGTAGATTGCAAGAATCTTCTGGAGAAATTTGGAAGCCAGAGCGCCTACGGAACAGTCAGAAGAAACAAGGACATAATTCCGGAAGAAAGAGATTTCGGGGGGATGTTCTAATGATCCAGCAAATTTTCCTGATATTCATAAAGCATCCTGCAATGCCCCTGAAGTTTTCGGAACATTCCTGAAATGCATTTTGCATATTCCATAATTCCACGGAGTTCCTTAAAAGTTCTTGTAATTTTCATGAAATTAATGGGACTGTTTTAGAGTTCTCTGATCATCCTCCAAGTACTTGGAACTTCCCTGGTTATAATGAGGTTACCTGAATATTTTTAATCATCTATGAATGTATCTGAATTTTCTTGAAGATAACGAAATTTCTTAAATGCTCTCACAATTTTCTTCAATTTATTGTATCATTAACATTGAAGATCTCTGATCTTCCCGATTTTTAAAATTTTATTTCTTAGCACTGCCATTAAAAAGCACGAAATTTCCCATACAATGTTCTCACAATGTTTTAAAGTTCATGTAACTTCTCTTACGTTTCCTAAATTTTTGGAACATTGCCTGAGTTTCTCGGAAATCCTAATATCAGCATTTCCTTGAAAAATATCAGCATTTCCTTGAAATAAATTGATCTGTCCTGATGTTCGGGGAGCTTTCCTAAAGTTCTCTCAATTATCTGAAACAAATTCAACTTACCTGAAAACCATTAAATTTCTCTGAAGTTCTTTGAACTAGTGAAGTTTCCAAAATATTTCTTATGTTTTCGTAAGTTCACTGGAGTTCACTGGACTTTCCTGAAAGTTTTGGGTTTTGGAATTTGAACAGAAGTTAAAGAAGCTATGATTAATTTATCAGAACTTACTCAAAAGTCTAGACTTTTCTGAAGATTCAGAACTTCTTAAAAGTTCTTGCAGCTAGTGTGAATCCGCAATAAACATCTGGAAACATCCCTGAAGTTCAGGGGAAGTTGAAAAAACTGGTGGTAGAAGACGGAAGAACCATTCGAGTGATGGCTGAAGAAGCTTCCAAGATATAAGGGATAAGTTTTCGGGAGGAATGGAAAATTAAGTTATGGTGAAAGGTGGAAGAAAAATCCATGTGAAAGTTGGGGAAAAATGCAGGAAGTAAAAAATGAACAAAACTTTAGGAAGTTAAATAATGTGTAAAAAGTACTTCGCAATTCTGAAAGAATAATCGGAAAGAGCCATCCCAGTTTCTCGATTCATGGGTAGCCAAAAACGGTGAAAAAATGGAAACATTAGTCAAAAGAGAATCAAGCAAATGACATTTTCAAAGATGATTTTTTTAAAGAATTTTGAGGACTCCAAAATGTAAGGTTATTCAAAAAGATACAAGTCTCTCACAATAATTTTCTCTGAAATTCGAGCGTGGGTAGGCAATAAGAATTTTGATTATTTAAAAAATCGGTATAAATCGGTATACAATTTCAAAAATCGGTATTCTGAGGTATCTTATCTGTACATCGGTATCTAGTTCGGAAATCGGTATAAATACCGAAAAATCGGTATACCTGGCAACGCAGCTGCCGTGAGCTGCTGAGTGCTACCGTAGGTTTTTTATGTGAAGTTGACAAGCCGTTTGCCAAGATACATATAATGATAATGATAAGAACAAATTGGGCCACATTCCCGCATAAACGCGAACCCGAGCGCGAACCATAACTTAACCTCGAACTTAACCTTACAGAAAATGGTTGAAAATTGTTCATAATCCCTGCTAAACTTTAACTAAAATGGTTATGGAACTTTACATGAACGTTTGTGTGATAAAGTTTTAAACTTATGTATTATGGTTTTTTGGAAGTGAACCTTACAAATAATGGGTTGTTAAGAACCATTACCATTCAAAATAGGGGAAATGACGGCTTCGGCATGACAGACTATTTTCGGAAACCCAAATTGAAACACTATTTTCACTGGATTTTCTTACGAAAACACTTCGCTGAATGCTTGCAAACGATTCTTTATGCTTTCAGCTTCAATATGACTATATTTTTACCACTGAGAAAAAGCAATCTAGCAAGGTTTTCTTGAAATGAAACACACACAAATTGTAGCTGATTTTGAGTTGCCGATAATAGAACAGCAGATATACATGCAGTTCAAATGGAACGGTTGCCGAAGAAAAACTGGTTGCCGACAATACTCGCTCTTACTATAGAAGATTGGAGCTTTGTAAAAGCGTTTCAAAATAGTTTTTGACAATTCTTTCGAATGAAATTGTTAGAACAGCTGGCAGCAAAAGATTGTAAACAAACCAATACTGCATATGTGTGCGTTCCATAGAGAAAAAGGCTATAGAAAGAAGGTCGCTGCTTAGGTTGCCGAGAATACGTAAATTCCCCTAGTTGTTTTATACAACATACATTATCGGAAAGAGAACTATGTTAGAACCTTTTTGTATTATCGATTGACTTTACGTGGAATATATCGTGAATTGGTAATGATTAATTTACAGGCAACCAATTCGCAATATATTCCACATAAAGTTAATCGATGTTACCAAACCATTCATGGAACTTACTGAATACCATAACCATTACCATTAAAGTTTTCAAATCATAAATAAAAAGGTTCCAAGGTTATCGTGGCTAAGATAAATATTTTCCGCGAACAAGGCGGCAGATGTCAGTTTTTTGCTTTGATCACAACTTTCTTTGTAATTAGTATTATAATTCATGTTAGTTTGTCGGTGGTATAAGCATAAGGGTCTCAAAGTACATGCATCAATCAAAAAACAATCAGCTTCTTTTGCTTACTACCTCCAACATACAATTTGAGCTCATTGAAAGTTGAATAATGAGGCTTGTGCAATAACATGAATAGGAACTTCGGCACAACAGTTTTCGAAAAATTCTTTTTGGAGTGATTTTCACGAAGTAGAAAATTTTCCAGGAAAAAGAGGTGCACCTTTGAAAAAACAAGGACGGAGTTCGAAAAAAGAAGTGCAAACGTGTAAAAACGAAAGTTGGAAAAAATTAGTTTAAATCCGGTGAAATAAAAAGAATATTAGTGTCCAAATTGAAGTATTATTATAAGATACTAGGTTTAACGCTGAAAATAGTATAGTTTTAAGTGTATTACTCGGTATTGATGGAGGAAAAGTGAAGAATCGGAGCAGAAAATTCAAGCAGGAAAACATAACCTAAAACACAAAATAAAGTTGAAAAGAGAAGAAGAGCTAAGATAAGTTATAGGTTAAGCAAGTAATTAATAAGTGATAAAAATAAAAGATTAGAATACCAGAACCTGAAAAAAGAAAAAAAAAAATATTCAAAATGAATCGTCCATTACGCTCGACAAGCAGAATTCCACAAGTCAAGGCAGCCCAGACCGGAGCTGTGCCTAAAACGAAACCACCAGGAAGAGGAAAACCAAATGAGGGGCAGCAGATGCTCTCGGACATCGCAATTCTGGAACCGTGTGATATCGAAGGAATAATTCATTCGCACCCGGCAGCTATCGGGAAAATTTTGGCGGAGGCAAACTTCAACAGATGCAGGGAGATTACCAAACTCGGTCGATTTCGATTCCGAGTGGTACTGGAATCAAAGGAAGCATACACTTCTCTCGAAGGAATTAACTTTGCAAAGCACAATCTGAAGCTGTTCGTTCCGGCTTCGACGACAGAAACGATATGCTTTGTTGGAGGAGTGCCTGCTGAATTCAAGGAGGAGGAAATAAGCAACAACATCGAAACTGAGGTTCCTGTACTGAAGGTGGAGAGGATCAAATGGAAGGATGGCGATAAGCTGGTGGACACCAGTAGCCTTAAGGTGACGGTAAAGGGTAAAAAAGCTCCGGAAATGGTTAAAATCTACGGATGTGCATTCCATATGGAGTTGTACGTGTTCCCGGTTAAACAGTGTCGACGCTGTTGGAGGTTTGGACACAAGATGAAGTTTTGCAGAGCAAAACCAAGATGCAGGATATGCTCAAGTGATCACAATCAGGAGGATTGTCCCAACAAGAAACGTTGTGCCAACTGTAGGAAGGAACATGAAGCAGACAGTAAGCACTGTGAAGAACGTCAGAGGAGAGACAACATTATAAAAACGATGAAGAAGGAACGGAAGACGTACGCGGAGGTGGAGTCAAGATATCCCAAGCTGACTAACCGATTCGAGATACTGGATGTAGACGAGAAATACCCAGAGTTGGAGACAGGGGCCAACGAGATTTCAACAGGCAAAACTAATACCGGTCGGACGGGACCGACCTTCGCT